ATCTTTCTCTCTCATTATTCCCCTCTCTCTCTTGCCTCCCCCCCATCTCTCTCTCTCTCTCTCTCTCTCTGTCTCTCTCTGTGTCTCTCTCTCTCTCTGTCTGTCTCTCTCTCTCTCTCTCTCTCTCTCTCTCTCTCTCTCTCTCCATCCTTGTCTCCTCCTCTTCTTCACTAAAGTCTAAAGAATGTTTAAAAACATAACTTCAAGTCCAGGTGTATCCTCTGCCCAGTTTTCACGAACAACACTTAACTACACTACACCGAAGGAAAAACTGGCCACTGACACGACGTTAAAGAGACAAATAAGACACACACACAAAGGGGAGATATCCTACCTGTTGGATGCTTGGTCTGCGGCATATCAGCGTCGATCTGGAGGGTGGCGTTAGGTCCGGCCCGGGTGAAGCGTACCACGTGATACTGACCGTCATTGACCTTATGGTAGAAGTCTCCAAGAGGGTGGTCAAAGGAGCCCATGTTGTAGACCAAGTAAACGTAGCCGTCAGCCTGAAATAGGAGGTGGTTGAGGTTACAGTAAGAGTTTCACACACTTTTAGGAGGGAGGGAGAGAGGGAGAGGAAGGAAGGGAGGGGGGACGGAGGGAGTGAGGGAGGGAGGAGGGGTTGAGGTTAGAGTAAGAGTTTCAAATGTTTAGGAGGGAGAGAGGGAGGGAGGGGGGAGGGAGAGGAAGGAAGGGAGGGGGGAGGGAGTGATGGGGGGAGGGAGAGAGAGAGACAGAGAGAGAGGGGGAAAAATAGATAGATAGATAGATAGATAGAGAGAAAGAGAGAGAGAAAGAGAGAGAGAGAAAGAGAGACAGAGACAGAGGGAGAGAAAGAGAGAGAGAGAGAGAGAGAGAGAGAGAGAGAGAGAGAGAGAGAGAGAGAGAGAGAGAGAGAGAGAGACGGAGAATAGAGGCCCATGTTGTACACCAAGTACACGTAAACGTCGAGGTTAGAGTAAGAGTTTCAAATTTTGAGGAGGGAGAGAGGGAGATGAAGGGAGGGAGGGAGTGAGTGAGTGAGGGAGTGAGGGAGGAAGAGAGAGAGAGAGAGAGAGAGAGAGAGAGAGAGAAAGAGAGAGAGAGAAAGAGAGAGAGAGAGAGAGAGAGAGAGAGAGAGAGAGAGAGAGAGAGGGAGAAACGGAGAGAGACAGAGAAAGAGAGAAAAAAAGAGACAGACGGAGGGAGAGAAAGAGAGGGACACAGAGAGAAAGAGAGACAAACAGAAGAAGAGGGAGGAAATTAAGGCTGTATATATTTTAAAATTCTGTTTGTTACAAAATATCTCACAAGAAGAGAGCCTCAATTATCAACGTACAAGTTCGTATTCTAAAAAAAGATAAGACAAAAGAAATCTTGAAACGACTATACAAGATACATTAATTGATACCAAACTTAAACCACAACCCACTTATCCACCGACACTATTGGGTTATTTGGACACGAAAGAAAAAAAATCACAAACACGTTTATACAATTCTTCCACCCCCTAAACAGCAAACAAACAAACAAACAAACAAACAAACCAACCAACCAACCAACCAACCAACCAACCAACCAACCAACCAACCAACCAACCAACCAACCAATCATCAAAAATCAACCCCCAACCCCCAAGTAAACAAACAAACAAAGAAACAATCAGACAATTAAACAAACAAACAACGAAACAAACTAACAATGAAACAAACAAAAATGTCTTCGAAATACCCCCTCCACCCCCAACCCCGCCCAACCCCTAACCCCCCCCCTCCCACACGCACACAGTTTACTGACCAGTTCAATCTGTATAAAGTCGTCGTAGGCCCGACTGTCCATCCGGAGAAGGATGGCGTGTGACAGAAAGGTCTTGAAACCAAAGGCCAGATTGTCGAAGTTTGTGGACGGCTCGTGATCAGCTAGGTGGGCAAAGGTCATGAGACCGGGCCCGGGCCCAAACTTGTAGGACACACTTTCTGTGGATGAAGAGAAAGAAGGAGTGCACGACAGTTACTAACGTTCAAACTAATTGTCTTTTGGTTTCGTATTAGTAAGAGTTTTTTTAACGGCACTTTGTAACAGAAATATAGGTCGTATAAATGCCAAAGATTAGAAGTGTTACAAGGAAGTAACAAACACAAAAAAAGGAGGAGAGATGAGGAAGATAGATGTTTAATAGGAAGGAGCAAACCACACCAGAGCACCTGCTAACAACGCACAAAATCGTTTTTGTCGACGTTAAAAAAAGGAAACCCCACACATGACAAAACAAATCAGACGTATACACGCTCTGTTGAGAAAGGACCGTGGCCTGTGGAAAAGGCTCATATGAGGTCGATGAGGTCAAAGGTGGAAGAAGTAAAGAAAAATACACACTATTTGCTGAGACCTTACTTATGTCTGACCTTCCCGACGGGGGGTATTGGGGACTTAAAGAACTGGTCTGTTTCTTTCCGATGGATTTCATTTAAGCAAAGGTTAAGATAGACAAGCCCTGTTTGTATGCATGTGGACTTCTTTCTCTCCTTGTCCTCTTTCTTGCCCCTCTCTTTTATTCCACCCCGATCCCCCTCCCCCCCCCCCACACACACACATAACATATATACATACATATATATATATATACATACATACATATATATATATATATATATATATATATATATATGTATATATATATTTAAAAAAAAAAAAAAAACACACTCTCTCTCTCTCTCTCACAAATACTTACATATATAACGATATGTATATATGTGTATATATATCGCATATATCTATAGCGATATATTTTTATATATATATATATATATATATATATATATATATATA